TTCGTTTAATTTCAAAACCATAAATGTTCCATTTGAACTGGTGCAAAGAAGGCTTGGGGAGGGAAACAGTCCCCAGATGTGGGAGGCCAGCTGTGCACATTATAATTGTGAAGAATTTCTCTAGAGCAGTGTTTCTCAACCTCAGCTACTTTAAGATGTGTGGACTTCAACTCCCAGAATTCCCCAGCCAGCAAATTATTGTATAATTTGAAGCTGTCAGCTTGAAAGTACAATGTATTCCAACTGTATTTGAATACTATGCAAACATTGTGCCAGTGTGCAAGATTGATGTCAGTTGCAGAAAGCAGCTTTTTAGGGTACACAGTTGTCAACTCTTGAAGCACTTCTCTGGGATGGTGTCTAGCTCTGTTTCACTTCATAAAAATTTGCCAAGGGTTTAAACAGAGGTAGATTCTGGTTTACTCTGAAATGGTTAGCCCTGCCCTAATAAAAGAGAAGAAGCCACCTGGTGAAGGCCACTCCTTGTATTCCATTTCCAGCATCTTCCTGACAGCCATCCTGGGCCTTCCAGAAGCTTTGATTCCAGTCCAGTTGCTTTGGGTGAACCTGGTGACTGACGGACTGCCAGCTACAGCCCTCGGCTTTAATCCTCCTGACCTTGACATCATGGACAAACTGCCCCGGAACCCTAGGGAACCTCTCATTAGTGGGTGGCTGTTCTTCCGCTACCTTGCAATTGGAGGTGAGAACATTTTTTTGATGGCAGTTTTGGGTGCCTTCCAGATGGGTGGATTTCAAATCCCAGAATGTTCCGGCCAATATGGCTGTGGCTGGGAATTATGGATTATGAAGGCAGCCTATATTGGGGAAGGTAATTTTATATGTACAACAACAGTGGGCAAGTTACAGATCCACCCCCAGCTTCAGTTTCTTTCTTGTAGAAGCCCTTTCCCCCAGTCTTGCCACCAACACTTGGTCACACATATTCATTGTAATGAAATGAGAAACAGTAAGTCATATATCCACATTTCAATTTTTTTAACTCATAAATTACAAAGTCAGGAAATTTCAATTCCACCTGTCTTGAGGGACATCATTGAGCCATCACCCCACTCCCGTAGACATCCACAGCAAATCAAAATTACTTGCACTTTCAGGTTCATCAGGACACAAATCCCATCCTAATACACTTGCATCCCAACATCTGATACAAGTCACAGGCTTTGCATTGTGTTGCACATTTTATCACTAGCCTCTCCTGGACCTTATGCATACAGGTAGTCCTCGCTTAATGACCATTTGTTTAACGACAGTTTGAAGTTACAATGGCCTTGGAAAAAGTGCTTTACGACCTGTACTTGCACTTACAACTGTCACAAACCATCACACCACCCCCCTCAGTCACATGATTGCAATTTACAACCTTTTTGTGATGGTCGTTAAATGAATAATTGTGGTTGTTAAGTGGATCACACAGTTGTTAAGCAAATCATGTGGTTGTTAAGCGAATTCTGGCAAAAAAGGCCATTGGGGAAGCTGGATTCACTTAACGACTGTGTGATTCACTTAACGACTGTGGTGATTCCTTTAATGACATCATAAAATGGTCGTAAAATCAGGTCCAGTCATGTGGTGAGTCGCTTAATGACTGCCCCACTTAATGATCAATTTTCTGGTCACTATTGTGGTCATTAAATGAGGACTACCTGTACTCCCTGCTGTCCTCCAAAGCAGAATTTTTCTTTAAAAATTCTTGGTCAATAATACTGATATTATTATTATTATTATTATTATTATTATTATTATTATATAAGTAAACTACAATTAAATTCACAGTCAAAGACTGGTGAAAACTTAATAATTCAAGTCCTAACCAAGGATCTAATGACGCTACGTTATTATTATGGTTAGTTATACAGCCAGATGTTTAAACTGGATTTGGCATTTTTCTTCACCTATTGAGTCCTTCCCAAAGACCAGGAATAGGCATATGTTGTTGTTTAATAATATTAAAGGTTTCTTCTTATTCTGCTTCTGCTTCTGCTTCTTTTGCAGGCCACCCAGGCTCCTTTGGGATTGGGGCAGATAATAAGTCCTGTAAAATGAATACAAATAAATGATTGCTTGCTGGTCTTCCATATTACACTTAAGAGGGTTTCTTTGTCTAGTGCAGAGAGCTATCACTTGAGATCAAGCTGCATCCAGAGACCATTAAATATAGAAGGGAACTAGCATTACGTAGGTGACACGGAAGATGATTTCAGTTTACATCTCTGATGGAGCTGGATTGTAGAGATTGTGATTGTTGAGGGAGAACCTTCCCTCATGTTGGAATACACATCTTTGTCTGAGAGTAGTAGCAAACAGCACCCCCCCTTTCCTGCCCCTCATGAATATGCATGAATTAACCCTTTTTAATCCTGGCTGCAGTAACCTTTCAACACTTTTCTTAATATTAAGAAGTGAAACTGGTGAAGTTGTAGCTGCTTTGATTGTTTGACGAATGAGTGAACCATGTCCCATGTCCATGGGCTTCTATTTGAAATACACCTGGTGGTGATGGTTGGTTGGAATACAGCTGGGTGCAACGGGTCGGGCTGACGCCCGAAATGAGCACCACATGATGAAGACCAAAAAGCTATTTAGCCTGCTCCCAGTCCCTTTCTTTAATTTTCGTTTTCCCTTGCAGTTTACGTTGGGTTTGCAACTGTAGGTGCAGCTACTTGGTGGTTCTTGTACGACGCTGAAGGACCTCAAGTTACCTTCTACCAGCTGGTAAGTTAGATATCTAATATTCCATTAAATATAGAAGGGAACTAGCATTACGTAGGTGACACGGAAGATGATTTCAGTTTACATTTCTGATGGAGCTGGATTGTAGAGATTGTGATTGTTGAGGGAGAACCTTCCCTCATGTTGGAATACACATCTTTGTCTGAGAGTAGTAGCAAACAGCACCCCCCTTTCGCTTCTTTATATCCTGTGAGGATGCACCGCACTTTAGGTCCAGAGCCACAACAGGTGCTTCAGAGTGAGTGTGGACGGCAACTGGGTGAGCCTAGGAAGAGACACAGCTCCTTAAGGAGGAGCCACACACACTCCAAAACACCTTTGCCGCTCCAAAGGGCTGTACATCCCTAACATGCTGTCTTCTATTCTATTGTTTCAAGAAAGTGAAGATATTACTGTTAATTTATTTAGATGGCTGATATTAGACTCAGATTTGTTTTTGAGTTTATTTTATTAAATTCTTCCATAGGAATTCCTTGGCATCTAAGGGAATTTGTTCTTTATACCTGGTGATTGTCATTGAAATGTGGAAACAGCAGGAGTTTCTATAATGGTAGGGGGTCTTTGAGGATGTCATGGAAGCAAAATTTACTAGTTGCATAAAAATTCCTAACTAATTCCTAGTTTTGCTAATGTCCAGAATATGAGGCTTCAGATTGTTTAGCCAATGTGACAAATCTCACACAGGACATGCAGGAGAGCTGTAGTCAGCAAGCAAGATGTTACATAGGAGTTATGAATGAAACTGGCGGATTTCTTAATAACTAAAAGGGATACATAATAAATCAAAAGACTGACTTGGACGGCATTCTTTTCTTGGACTTAACAAAAGAGATGTGTTATTAAGGAGTTCCTGAGAAAAGACAAAGAGCTTTTGGGACACTATTTAAAGGGAATAAACATCAAGATTTTTAAAAGCAAAAAGAATTTAAAGTTGGCTTATTTGATCAGGGTTAAAAAATATAGATGATGTTCTTTCTAGTAGCTCTTAACGGGTTTTTCTTGACCAGGACTGAATGACAAGGTTTTAAAGATTTGTTTATAGATAAGTTATGGGAAGAAAATATTTTTTGTTAAAATATGGATGTTGTTATTTCTTATATGTGTAAAACTTGTGAAGGAGTTTCTGAGAGGAGACAGAGAAAATGATAAGAAATTAACTTGTGGGATAGTATTTGAAGGGATTTAAGATTTTTAATATGTTGCTGTATCTGGTAGCTCTTAGTGGGTTGTTGTTGTTTTTTACCAAGTTTGAATGATGAGGCTTTAAAGATTTGTTTATAGATTGGGAAGAAGATTTTTTTTTTTTTGCTGTATTTTTAGAGAAAATTATAAGTTACTGTGTTAAAAATAAAAGAAAGGCATGTGAAACTGATTTATTTGATTAAGGTTAAAATACATGCGTCGTTATTTCTGGTAACTCTTAATGGACTTTTGCTGATTAAGATTGAATGATGAGGCTTTATAATTGGTTTATAGGTAAGAGGTGAGATATGGGAAGAAGAGATCTTTGATTGAAATGTTAGAGAAGGTGATAAGCTACTGAAATTGTTTGTACTTGTCTTGATGAAAGGGGAAGTCATTTCTTTATATATCTTTTTTCTTTATATCTTTTTTCCTTTCTTTTCCTTTTTTCCCCTGCACTTTTCATTTTTTCTTTTTATATTTTTCTTAGTTTGTATTAGTTTTTATCCTTGTGTTTTTAAACTTGAATAAAAATTATTATTTTAAAAAAGGACTCTGACGTTCAAAATCCATATCTTTATATATTTTTTTCTTTTTGCTTTCCTTTCCCCTCTTTTTTCTTTGCACTTTTCAATTTTTTTTACTTTTTAAATCGTTCTTAGTTTGTATTAGTTTTTTTATCTTTGTATTTTTAAACTTCGATAAAAATTATTATAAAAAAGGAGATATAAAACGGCAGAGCAGAACTGCATTCTGATCCCGTGATTTTAATATGCCTTAAATAGATAATGTGTGTCTTGAATGTTATAAAGATAAAATGCGTGCATAATGTAGTCTCATTGAATCTCTGTGTGTGTTTGTATGTAATCTCTTGCTTTCAAGACAGGGAACAAAAATAGGTCACAATTAGGTCTGTAAATATTGCCTTCCCTTTTTACCTGGTAATGAGTCCTGAATGTGCTGAGGTTAATTTTTGCATATAAAGCTAGACGATGTCACTCCCAGTTGATTAAGTGGTCAGAACAATTGACTAAGAAACTTTGGACTGAGATTTTTAGTCTAAACCTTTTTAACAGTTAGCACAGAGGCATCCTCTCTTCCTGCTCTTATGAGCAAGAAAGCGTTGTGTAGCATCTAAAAATCAAACACTGGCTTTTTTTCTGAGCTTTTGTGTTAACACAGAACAGGGGCTTTTTGGTGGTGAGCTGTCAAAATCTCCTAGGATAATTACCTAATTCTTTATTCAGTTTTAGAGAGGCTGTTAAACTTTGTTTTTCTGTTCCACTGGTTTTCAGAGTTATTGGGTTTTTTAAAAATCTTTGGATTTATAACCTGTCTTTCGTGCAGGAGATGAATGCAATAGACAGGGCACATCTCCTTACCTTTTGAAAAGGTTATAGTATTTTCCTATGGCTTGCAATATTTGCTGTGTGCGGATGTTTATGTTTTTATTTATTACGGTGGATGGACTCCTACTGGTTTACGATAAAAAGATCTAGGTCATAATTTAAAATAGCCCACATTTTCATGAAAGCAATAATAAGATCTCTCCCGTAATGGCCATCTCCAGCAATGTTAGAAGTCTTTACACCACCGCAAGCTTTAGAATACCTTAATCTCCAAGCCTCCCCTTGCAGCAGTCTTCGCACTAAAGCCTCGTGGTTGTGTTTTCCTGCTTACAGAGGAACTTCATGAGATGTACAGAAGACAACCCCATCTTTGAAGGCATTGATTGTGAAATCTTCGAATCTCGTTATCCAACCACCATGGCGCTCTCGGTGCTGGTGACAATTGAGATGTGCAACGCACTCAACAGGTACAGTGTTCCCAGCGGGGTATCTCTTGAAGAAGAAAAGCAACACCCTGAGGCTAATTTTATTTTTTAAAAAGGGCTCCATACGTTGAGTGCAGGATTTAGAGTAGAGCTTTCCCAAGAAATCTTGAAGCTGGTATGTGTTTTTGCAGATGCATCTGCAATACGTGGATATCTGTTGTTAATCAAAAGAAGATTGCGTAGATACTTTTCTTCCAAGGCATAAATTCTAGAAATCACTGCCTATTCAATCACTGAGAGAGTAGAGAGAAGGTCATGTCAGGCAGCACGTTGTGGAGGGCAACGAAAGGGCAGCAAACAGTTATTTCATTTGTGCTTGTTTCTTGGCTTATTTCTTGGGTATTTTATTGGTAGGGATGGGTTGAGATGCTGGTGGGGTTTTCTGCCCAGATAACTTGCCAGGGTATTGAGCGTGTCTTGTAGGGGCAATGGAACTTGTTCCTCCTTTTCAGACTGCAATATATGTTGGAGGACTACTGACATAATGACCTTCTTTTAATAATTATGTAGCGTCTGTGTGCCTTGAATGGTTGTAGGTGCTGTGCCATCAACTTGGGTAATGGCATAATTGTGATCACATAGAACTGTCTCCCTTGCCCCAAATGATGTAGAGGGAAACCAGCTCAGTGTAGATGCCCTCAAAAAGCTAAGGAGTTGGGGGTGCATGATTGTCTTCTGTCTCCTCCACAGTGTGTCTGAAAACCAGTCGCTGCTCAGGATGCCCCCCTGGCTGAACATCTGGCTCCTGGGAGCCATTGTCATGTCTATGGCCCTGCATTTCCTGATTCTGTACGTGAAGCCATTGCCTGTAAGTAGTGCCCCTTGCACCCAACGTGGTTAACTGGCTGAGAGTGGGAGGGACCTCACTGAGCCACATCCTGTCTCCACTGCTCTCTTTGGATTCCTGGTGGCAATGGTGGGCAATGTTGGTCTCAGGATCCCAGAACTACTTCTGATCACAGTGCAGAATTCAGGTGCCAAAATTGCCAAAAATCATCAGCAAGGCTCCCTACCAGTCTGAAGCAGGAAACACGCAAAAACAATCATCTAAAGTATTAAAAGAACTTAAAAATGCCAACAAACTCTGGCCGCATCCACTTTCTGCCATTGCCATATGCATTGTGGCCCCTGCCTCTTCCCAACATCTCAAATGTTAGGTGTGGCTCCTGACTCCAAAAAGTTGCCCAACCTGAAGTTTCTTGGTATTTCAGCAAGTCTGGGTGTCCTTGTTGGGAACACTACATAAGCAACAACATTCCCAGGCTGAGCTTTGGAGGTAAAGGACATGATCCATATCATCTTCTTATCTTGCAGCTGATCTTTCAGGTGACCCCACTTAGCTGGCCTCAATGGGAGACTGTGCTGAAAATCTCTTTGCCAGTTATCCTGCTGGATGAAGGCTTGAAGTATCTCTCCCGTAACCATTTAGATGGTGAGTGCCCCTGCAGCGGGATTGCCTATCAGCTTCTTGGCTTGTGAACTGTGTTGATGTAATGCACTGTATCTTAAAAGTAGAAGACACAATACAAAATAAACACCAAAGCCCAAACCTTCCTGATTTAATTAAGATATTTTAAATGATGGCCTTCCTCTGCCAGCATTGTTTTTCGGAGCTGTTGTGAGCAGTCAATAAAATAACTAAAAACATGGGGTGGGGAGAAATCAATACATACTAGCCAAACAACAAGTGTTACAACAGAGAAGCTAAAAGAATGAAATGCAGGTAGTCCTCATTGAATGACCACTCATTCAACAACCATTTGAAGTTACGATGGCGCTGAACAAGGAGACTTACAACCAGTCCTTGCAGTTGTGGCCATCACAGTGTCCCTGCAGTCACATGATCGCGATTCGGGCACTTGGCAACTGGCTCGCAATTATGATGGCCGCAGCGTCCTGTGGTCATGTGATCACCATTTGTGACCTCCTCTGCCGGCTTCTGACAAGCAGAGGCAATAGGGGAGCCAGCAGGAGGTTGCAAGTCATCGTCACATGATGTTGCACTTAACGACCGTGCAGGATTTGCTTAACGACTGCAACCAGAACTGCCATGCTTTACAACCTCATCATTTAGCGACAGAGTTCCCAGTTCCCATTACCACTGTTAAACAAGGACTACCTGTAACGTGTCCAGCTGGCATTTGGCATCTGGGAAAATTAAATGGCAAGACTAGAAGTCAGCAGATTCTCCTTGGAGAGAGAACTTAGAGAATGGGAAAAGGTTATGCAGAACACTCACAGCTCCGCTTCTGATTCTCGGATGCTACAGATTGTTTCGTAAGTCTGGGTTGGCTAGCAAGAACATGCTACAAAAGAAACTGGAACCGTCCCAGTTTCCTGTTAAGTGAGTTTATGGAAACCCTGGAAGCTGCATTATATGAGCTATATCCATTGGTCTATCTAGATCAATTTTTCCTGTAGTATTGGCAACCCTCCCCCCGATAGCCCCATCTGTACCGATATGAAACCAAAATTATTTTCTTCAAAAATGCGTGTCACTCAAAATCTCATGCAAATTAGGAAATGTTGGCCGTTTAGCAGAGAGGACTCAGGGCCTGAAACGGTTGTTGACCTGTGGTATATAAACACTGGCAGCATTTCTCCAGAATTTCAGCCAAGGTTCTTTTCCAGATCTGCACAGCTCTACTAAGAATTAAATCTGAAACGTTTTCCATGCAAAGCATATGATGCACTCTGTTTATTTGGCTCAAGGATTTGTTGGAAGGGAGGGGGGTGTTCTTTGGATCAAGGAAAGGGCTGTCTGCAACTTGGTCTTCTTTGTAGGAGGGCATCAGACCCCTCTTAATAACTTGCAGAGTTTTCTGAAAAGGATAGAAACTTTAAGAAAGGTGCAGACAGTCTACTCCGTGCCACTCTGAGGTCCACAGAGCAGTTTTGCAGGCCTAGCCCTTTAGTACAAGCAGATCTTCAAGGACTAGCGCTCACAAAACTAGGCAACTAATTGAAAGGTGCACTTGGGAAGTACACCTTGGTATACTCATGTAACACTGCTACTTTGTATGTTGTTCTAGTTGCCAGTCAACTTCTGGGTGTAATTCAAGATACCGATTGTCACCAATAAAACCCACAGTACAAGGTCTGGTTATTTATGGGGCCACCTGTCCCTGTTACTTTTGCATGTCCAATAAGTTCTGATAGGGTTGGCAAGCTCTGGGTCTCCTCACTCAGGCAACAGCATCTGATGGGACCCAGGAGATGTGTCTTCTGTGTCACTGTGCTTGCCCTGTGGAATAGCACCCTTGCCAAGATCTGGATAACCTGCCTTCTGAAAGGCTCTGAAGATCTCACTTTTCCCCCAGGTACTGGGTTAGGAGGTGTTGTGAGCCCATTTTGATTGCTCCTAGTTGTTTGAATTGCTTCTGGTTCAATATGTTTTCCTGTGTTTTGTTTTATTTTTCTCCTGGTTGTCATTTATTGCTTTTAATTGTGGTTGCCTCCCTGAGTCTCATGTCAAACAGGCATATATAAATGGAATAACTAAATAAGGCTAGAACTTCCTCCCATGATACATTTTCTGTGTATGGGATCCGAATGTTTGTGTGTGGTACATATAGAAGAATTCTCTAAGTCCCCAAAAGTCAGACTGAGAACAATCCGGCCATCAAGATCTTAGTCTTTGCATCTTAGTAATGTGTTAATTTTGCCCCATTTGTAAAACCAAATTAAGAAAGAACTTAGAGCATTTTCCAGCATTGTCATCTAACCAGCTGCCCATTCCTGAGTAGGGCAAGAATTCCTGAAAATACGAGTGTAGGAAATTTCATTAAGCAAAGGCTTAATGCCAGGTTTTTGACTCTTAAAGTTCCCCACCCTTATCGAGTTAGTTATCCTGAGATAGTAACCTGCTTCACCTATCACATTAAGCCATGATTTGCTTAACCATAATTCATTGAGCAAACGACAGTAGCTAGGTTCACAGCATACATTACGCCCAAACCAACCAACATAATGCAATGTTTGAATTTATGAGATAACAATGTTTTCTGCAAAGAAAATCTTTTCTTTTGTTATGGTGCCCATTCATTTCATTGAATTGTGTCAAGTTAAGGAAAGGTCAGAGCAAGCGTTAATTTTTTTAAAAATAAAATCTTACAGTTGTTTCCTGTGTCCCTATCCCCAGGCAAAGAGACCAAGAAATGACCAGCACAAAAGAAACTCAGTTTCTCCGCAAAATGAATCGTAAACTCTTACCTGGGACTGAAGAAATTGCATGCTTGAACATTTCCAAAAGACATCAAGGAATGTGCATGTTTTTGAAGTCTCGGACTTAATGCGGGTGAATTGTCAAAAGAAATGAAAAACTGATATTTTTGTTTTGTTTTTATTTTTACTTTTACTTTTGTTATGTAGCTGGGTGTTTTTTTTCCCTGTATATAGTCGTGCAAATACTGGACAGTTAAATTATGGCTGGGGGGGAGGGTAGAGTTTGCTCTTTCAAGGAGGCAGAATAATTCAAACCCTTAGAGATCTGCTTCTGAAGATTTCATTCCTTTTTTAACTCTCTTTTTTTCAGCACCCTAAGAACTGCATTTTTTCTCTTGACACAAAGTTTGTGATAGTTCAGGATGAGATATAATATAGTTCTTGTCAGAAGTAGCTGCTGGTGGGGTGAGTCTCTCCTTCACCAACAAGACCCTCTTTTGACACAGTCCTATAAGCTTTTATAGGAGTCAGGATGTACCACATGACTTGAGGTAGCCTATCAGGTTTTTTGAGAAATAGATTTGACCATCGGATTGGTTGCCGTATAGTTCATCAGGTCTCACTGGAGACTGGCTGCTGAAATCATGCTTGGCTTTGCGTAGATGCCTAAATTCTAGAATCAGAAGATGGTTGCAACTCTTATGCTTGCAGGCTTATGGGAAAGAGGCACTTTTTGGCAGAGAAGTTCAATATGTCCTTGGCCATCTATACCTACCATGTTTCGTTCTTTTGGGAATCCTTTTTCTCCCACAATTTTTTTCAGAGCTTCATTGTGTGGAGGAGGATGTCCGGCTTCTTGTATCCTAGAAAGCTGAATTCGGGAGTACGGAATCAGTGTTGAAAGCTGGTATTTTAGAAAGAAAGATTCTAGTCTGGCCATTTCCTTGTTATGCCAATTCTCTATGCACAGAAACCTTATTTTTGGGTAAGGTATTGCCTGGAGACAGATCTACCCATGTTTGTGGGAACTTAGACCACAAATATATGGAGATTTCTCATCACAAGTCAGCTCATTGATCCATTTAGCCTATCTGACTGGTAGGACAATTCTCTGGGCTGTCATTTTTCTCGCTTGCTGCCTGATCTTTTTAACTGGAGCTAATGGAGGTTCAATCTCTGCACTTCTACAAAAAAGGAAATACTTTGCCACTGAGCTGAAATGCTACCTTTGGGTAAACTACTGCTTCATCTTGGCTATTTTTAGTTTCTCTGTGAGAGACAGCAGCTATCCAAAGTGGCCCACAAAGATATAATTGGGTGCCATAAGACCAGAATAATCATAATGATTACTTCCTAACAAAGTGACAGCTTGATTTAAGTATCAACATTCCCTTTGTATAGTTTATTCTTCATAGATCTCTCAAGATGAAAAGGCATCAAGCAAATCAAGAATCTTGCAGTGAAAAGGGCCCAGAGAAAGTTCATGTATGACATGGTACAAGACAGAGCAACTCTGTCTCTCCGCATCCTAAGACACAGATGATATTTATGCAACTTATGTCAGTGGTCCTTGAGTATTTAGGGGGTGCAGATGTCTTAATTTGGGGCAACAGTATGTATTCTCATCACTTTCAGGCCAGGTGCCTGGAACTGGGATCAGTGTGATCCATAGCTCTTACAGATGCAACAGGAGGGAGTTGGTGGCACGGATGCCTGACTTTAAATTCTATACATGGATTTCTGTGGAAAGCTTTCTCACTTTAGGTGGTTATTTCCACAACAGCAGCAAGTTTAGGTATATGGAGAATCATATCTGATGAATTCCAGCCTTTGGGAAGAAGATGAGATTTCAGAAAGGTCATCTTGAAGACTGTTTTTGCAACATTGCAAAGCTTTTTTTTTCCAGGAAAAAAGATAGTCCTACAGTAATATTAAAATGAAGTGTGGATGTCCTACCTGACAGCATTTTTTAAAGAACAGTACCTAAGAGCAGATGATGATGATGGAGAAGGAGAAGGAGAATTATTAGTTTCATATCCAGCCTTTTCTCCAGGATTACAAGGCAGCTTACCTGAGCTTCTCCATTTTATTTTGTCAACAACAAGCCTCTGAAGGGGTGGGTGGGCTGTGAGAGAATGACTGCCCCAAAGTCAACCAGTGAGCTTCCATGACTGAGCGGGACTAGTCCAACTTCATACACTGACCATCCAGGGTATGTTGAGTTCACCTCTTTTCTGCACACAAGAGTTGGTTTTTGAAATGAACATAATTTTGAAGGCAGATACTTTAGAGGGCTCTACAGGCTTTTTCCCGCTGCTGTTGAACTGCTACCCACCCATATTTGAGTCAGCAGAAAACAAGACTGGCAGAATACTGATGGCCTGTCTTGCCTCTTTTTTTCCATCACTGCCAATCATCTGACTTTCCTGGAAGATGAGGGGTGATAAAGCTTAACAGACTTTATATCCCCAGATAGGGGAGAAAATGCAACTTTAGCACCAGTATATCTAAGGATGGCTTAAGAATATCTCACGAGGGCTGGGAACAAGATGCTGGCAATATCAAGGGGACAGGACATATTTGGGCAAATGGGGAAAGACCCCAATCTTCTGTCATTTTTTTTTTTTTCTGCTTCCAAGTTCTCATGGCTACTGGCTGTTATGTCTTCTAGCTTATTGAAATAGATGCTACCTGAGGCTATTTAATATATTACTGAGCTTTAAGGATATGTTTTCACTATGCATTTAAGCCCACTTCAGTCTTCTTTAGTTCTTCTCACTTTCAGTCTAAAAAACCTGGAAAATGAAATATGACAGAGGGGTAGAGGAAGAAGTTGTCTGCACACGGCAGAACTTCTATTCCTTGTGTTATTTGTCTTGGTGCAATTGGCTTGCCTGCTTGTCTGTTTCCATCTTTGAGGGAGTGACATTGAGTTTACATCAGTGTTGTTCCACTTTAAATGTGCTGTCTGGGCCCGTGTTACTGAACGGGGGACAGTTACCATGAAGCCAGCATGGCATCATGTGAATCTAGGCATTTGCGTCACCAACTCAGGGATCTTTCTCTGGCAGTTGCATGTTTCTTTGGGCAAAGGTTTGGCTTGAAGTATTTGGAGTTCTACCATGAAGAAGTCTTTCATAATTAATTTAACATCATTCCTTTTGAGGGGGAAAAGAATGTTTATACATGGTATATGAAGATTTTACGTCCTGGCACTTTTTTTTAAAAAAAAATGGTCTCTTGAACCATTGAGACACATTTCAAAATCTTCCTAGAAAACTCGTAATTGTTTATTCTATCAGTTTTCTTAATAACAACAATAAAGATCCAGGTAGTTATTTTAAGCAAGACAAGCTGGTCCATGGGGTTCAGGGGGAGTAAAAAAGAAAAGTTGGTGGCTAGCGTTGCTCAGTCAGAGCCCCACCCCTTTTTGCATGTGTCAACACACGTAAAACGGGTTGGGGCTTTGGACATGAACTTCTGGCCACCGTCCTGACTTTTTTGACTCTCCCCATCTCTTTCAGATGCCCCTGGAGCAAAGAGCAGCAGAACTGTGAATTGTGCATAAACGTGAGGGCATTTAGTCAAATGTTCAGTAAAAGATTTTGGTAGATGAAGTTTCATAATCCCACTACCTCTTTGTTAATGAAAGTTGTATTTGATGAGATCTGCATCTGTCATGCAACAGGAAATTAAAATCAGAGGCATGTTCTGTTCAAGACACAGGAGCACTGCCTGAAAAGGAGATGCCACCTGTTGAATACGTTGCATTTCTGTTCCTGATTTCTTTCTTTTGGTAACCTTGTTTATCCTCCAGCAGTTTTAAACTGTCTTGTCTGGAGCAGGGATGACTTGTGTTCACAAAGGGCCCATTTCTATTCAAAATCAAAACTCGAGAATTTTCTGCAGTTCTCCTCGTGTATGAAGTTCTCAGCATCTTCTCTAAAAGACAAGAAAACTTACAGTCCCTGAAGAAGACTATGATACTTAAACCTGTATCCAATATGAACAAAATGTGATGTATTTGTTTATGTTGCAATATGCCAATATTCCTCTATACCTGGAAATATGTCCATTTGTACATAGTCAGGCTGAGTAGGGATGGATAAACTTGTCACTTTTGATTTCATTTGGTTTCTCCTTTTCTTCCTGTAGTATCATGTTTATTTCATTCCAGTTCATCCTCATGGATATTTTTTTATTAAAATTCCACAGGAACATTTTTGTACACTTTCCCCCAATATGCGTGGTTTTGCACATAATTTCTTAAATCGCTGGACTGCATCAAAACCTTTGGGAGCGTGCAAATATTGACCTACAACTACAACTACGTTGTGGTTTGTATCCGGGTGAGGAAAGTATATATTACATTGTAAACCAAACAGATTTTTCCTCCATCCTTACTAAATGTTGCTGCCCACATGACCTTTGCAAGATTGAGTGACCCACAATTTCCACAATTCAAGATTTTACAAAATAATTTCAGCTAAAAATTTGACAAACTCCTGAAATCGCTATTCATTTAAAAGAAAGAGTTCCCACATTTTCACCTGATTCACAGATACTGTTTAAAATGACAATCCTTTAGAAACCATACACCACCTTTCTTCCTGATCACCAGCATTGTATAAAATAAAGTATTTCCAAGATAGGAAACATTGCTAAGCCTTTGGGAATGTATAGATTTGAATATACTACTGAGCTGGCTAAAGCTGTACAGAAAAAAAAATCTTGCATGAAATGTTGTTACTGTATTTAATATATACTTGTATTCAAGAAGTTTTAATATGGAGCTTTGGGGAAGGGGTCACCTTTATAGATACGTGTGGTTACAAGGAAGTTTTAAGAAACAGAAAGAAAACGTATTCTTCACTTTCTGAATGTCTCGTGTTTCTTTTGTTCTATTGGCGAAATCTTTGGCTTTTCAGTACTTTTTCAGAGTAATTAATCTAGTTTAATAAAACATTTTCTATCCTACTTTTCAGTCCCTCTCCCCATCCACTCGCACCCATGATGTTCACTTTCAGAAATTCAGCTCGTCTCTAATAAGAGGTTTACCAAACTATTAACAGGGTGAAGAACTGCTAGAAGGAATTTTTCCCTCTTTATAGTAAGAGCTTTATCCAACAAAGAAATGATACAGAAATCCACAATTCCAGTCTTCCATTCTGGGTTGCTCTGATCTCACCTCAAGTACTGTGTCCGGAAGGATTCAAAAAAGAAGGTCAGTGAGAATTATCAGGGGACCAGCAACTACGTTTTATAAAGAGACATTAAAGTGGACATGTTTAGCCCTGGAAAGAGAAGATGGGTGTTTGTATGGAGGATATAATAGCAGTCTTCAAAGAGCTGAGAGGTGGTCACAGAGAGATTCAGACCTGTCCTCTGTCTTCAGAATGCAAGATAGGAAATAGTGGAGCCACGTTACACAAGGGCAGATTTCAACTGAGTTTTAGGGGAAAGCTACTTCTTAAGAGCAGGTCCGCAGCTGATCCAGTTGCTCAGAGAGGTGGTAGACTCGCCTTTACTGAGTTTGTTTCAGCCTCAGTGTCCTTCTGACACTGAGCAAGAGGCTGGATGTGATTGCCTCAATGGCCTCTTCTTATTCTGGGTTTCTACCTAAACTGCTGGAGTTGTTGGTATGTCTGTTAAAATCAATTAACACAGCTCGGAGGGGTCCAAGAGTTATGGATCGATACCAATTTTTTGAACCAGATGCATAATTAATAAACTCTTATGCATTCAAGCAAGTCCCACAACAAGGATTTGTTGAGGTGTTACTGGCATTTTGAGGAAGCTATCAAAATGGAAATTGAACAGAGAGAGAAAAAAAGCTGCATTTAATGTTAAATAAATAGATACGCGTAGATTGCATAAGCACTCATGCTTACCAGTAGAACAGCTCACCTGAGTTACATAATACAGACCAATTCTTTAGGAAGAGAAATCTGGCTATGAAAAAGTTATCTGATGACACAAATTATTTAAGAAGATTAACACACAAAGGGACTGTAAAGAGCTTTGAAAGAGTCTCTCCAAACTGGTGTATTAATATTAAATGTGGACTTCAACTCACATGCTGGCTGGGGAATTCTGGGAGTTGAAGTCCACATATCTTAAAGCTGTTAAGGTTGAGAAACACTGATTTAGCAGATCTTCAACAGTCTTGAAAATTATATTCCGTAACAAGTTTTTGTGACCAGATTCCTTATCAAGCTGGAACGAGTTACTACGTAGCATGCCAATTGATTCATTAAAGACTTGAATGAGGAGGCAGGGAAAACACTGATTTGTATATAAGACAAAACTTGGTAGAAAGCTGTTACCGTAGAAGACCCAAACAACAGTCAGAGCAATCTTGGTAAAACAGAAGTGGACTGAAAATAACAATGAAATTCACTAGAGACGAACACTAAGCTTTTCATTTAGGAAAAATCGATCCAAAGTGCAGATATAGGATGGGGAATACCTGGCTTGTAACTATATGTGTGAAAAAGAGCTTAAAATTTAATTAATTGATTGGAAATTAGTGAGTTGATCATTTTGGGACAGAGAAATACAATTTAAAACCTCCCTGCCGAGTTGGAAACATCAGTAGAAAAACAACATTTTATCTCATCTCTGATCGGTTCTTTTTCACCCAGGGTAGTAATCTTAGACCTGGGATCCGTTACATTCTGCCTCTTATTTACATAAAGGACTAGTTGATGATGAGCAATTAAATACGAGTTAAATAAGACCTAGTCATATAATTAATACAATGCAGATATAAATATAATTAATTCTATAGCTGCTCTAATTCTAGGCTCTTGCACCAGTGAAACTGCTCCTTGAATGCTCTATTATAGAATAATGAGTCACAAGAGTTATCAGTGTTAATGTATTCTTTTAGATATACTGGTTATCTCCTTTCCCTTTCCTTTCCCTCTTTTTATCTGTTCTTTTATCAGCTGCTGCTCTCTTCTCTTAACTGCCCTCCTTTTTTTCTCTCTATTTCTTTCCATTTTCTTAGCCTTTTGGGGTGCTTTCGCTACAAGAAAGTGGCTAATCTCTTTATTTGAGAGAGAGAGAGAGAGATTTAACCATTTATGAAGCCACCCATCTGGGCAGCGTACAAAGATTACAACCATCATCACAATATAAACTCATGATGTCTGGGTTAAACAATAACCCCCAAAATTAAAAAAAAAACACATCACCAACAGAGCTCACCTAACTGCCTGGCCCAAATCCCTGGGGGAACAGCCAGGTCTTCAAAGACTTACAAAAAGCTAACAGGGTTGAATTTATCAGCATAATAACCCTTTCATCACAGAGAGTTCTGTGACTTCTCTGTTTGGGGTCCTTAGTGCTCTCTGAGCTTGGTTGGTTGCTTGCAGACGTTTCATTACTCAACTAGGTAACATCAGTGCACTGATGATGTTACCTAGTTGGGTAATGAAATGTCTGCAAGCAAGCAGTGAAGCTCAGAGCTCACCAAAGACTCCTCAGTTCAACCCTGCGCTCCAGATATTTTCTTCTGTTGGAGCTTCTCTGCTTGTCAGAAATTTGCTATTCTTTGCTATTAAATAGGTCATTCCTCTAGTTGCAGACCAAAAAGCTTTAGTCCATCTGTCACCACCTCTCAT